TTGAGACGTCTAGAAGGCATGAAAAGTGCTATATCAAATGCAAGGGTTATTTTGTTATTATAACTTAATTTTTTTATTACTTATATAACAATTATTTTACGAGATATTCAGAGTTATGAATTAGCAAGGTCAAGAAGTATACAAACTTTGGAATCTAATTTGTAGTATTTCTTAACAGATTTCTTAATAATAAAAATGTGTGCTTATTACATTTCTGAAATATTGAATGCTCTGAAGAAGCATTATTGCATGCTTAAAACATTATTGGATGGCTTTAAACACATTTGTTGGTTTACTAATTCAATAATTATAACTACCTTATTAAAAAATATACAAATAGACCCCATGTCTGAAGGACGTGGTTTGTCCCTGTAACACTGTCTATGACATTTTACTGGTATGCTCTGGGACGCTGCCCAGCATGAAGGTCCCTATATGAATGCAAGTTGTTGTTGTTGCAGAGGAATAGGTCTCTTTAAATTTACTAAAGTCTGGCACCTGAAGCTACTTGACAGTTCAAGCCACACGTCTCTTCATATTTTCCGAATAGCTGCTCTGCTTGCTGTCTCTACATACCTATGCAGGATGTGGCCAAGACATTGTCTCTGTATCTGAATATTACACTGTGGTCATTAACTGAGTTTGTGTAAAAGCTGATAAGATGTCAGATATCAGCCCATCATCTTTTAACCAGACTCAATCATTTTAGGTTTTGAAGCAAGTGAACAGGGCAATGTCCTATTCAGATTAACAAAGATAAATAAAATATATCAGTAAATGACTCCAATGGTTTCATCCAAGCTAAACTCATTGCTGTATGTTGTAGCACTACTCTATTCAGACCAGGGACCAGATTGATCTCAGCCAAGACATTACAATTAGCTTTAATGTCCTTGGGCTGGTGAGGGTAGAACACTCCTGATCACTTTTCAGAGACCATTTATAAGATGTTTGGTGAGAATAGCATTGGTGACTGTGATGACATCCAGAGTATAGCTTACTGACATTTAACAATCTAAATTCAGAATTCAGTCAGTGACTTAACATGGAGTGGAAATGGAATGGAAAACAATTGACCAGAAAGACAAAAATCTACATGTTACAAAATGTATGTGGGTGTCCACAATGGTCCTATGATAGTAAATTGATTATTGCCAGTCTACAGATTATTCAGCATAGTTTAAAAAACTCAGAGAACATCTAAATGAGTATTCCATGACAATATTAACTGGTCACAGAATTTTCCAGTATTAAATGGAAATTATTTTTTGACTCAGCTGCACTTGCTTTGTTTTCTTAATCGGTGTACCATCAGAAACATCAGGAATCAAAGAGTCAACCATGTCTATTTTCTGTCTGGTATAGTGACTATCGTCCTTGGGGGAAATAGGCAGGGAGCTGCTTTGAAGAAGCCTGGATTTTCAGTGGGATTTGGAGGAGCAGACCAGATACTGGGTGGGTGGGGGGTGGCACAGGGATTCTTCCTGTTGACTCTGCAAGCCAAAGCTCTAAAGGGTAGGATGATCCTAGCTGGACAAGCAGTGGGAAGCTTGTCAGACAGTACATTCAATGGTTTTCGCTGCTTGAACTACAGCAACTCCACAACACAGACTTTGGTGTCCTGAAGCCTTGGCTCTTGCCAACCTGTGCCTAATACTTTCTGTAATTAGGTCAGCATGATCCATTCCTCCTTGGAGAGGATGCGTATTCCATTCCAATGGCAAGGAAATGTCAGCACCTTGGAACATCCTCCCAACGTGAAAGGTGCTATGTAAATGAAATTTGCTGTTTGATTTTGTTGGTGTTGTCCATGTGTAGGTTGTGTGCATATATGGAACTCTCAGTCTAGTTTGAATACTCTTAAGCATAGTGAAAGATTTCCACATGTTTCAGACGCCTGGCTGACTCCCAAAAATTCTGATAGCTCCTATTAGCACCGGATCTGATCCAATGCAAGAAATTCTCCTAATTAAATGAATAACGTGAAGTTTTATAAGTATCAATATCCTGGAGTGATCTCACAGTACATCCTGGAGTTCACATAATGATATCAGTCACTTAAGCTTCATTCTCATGGTTTGTGGTGTCATCTGACCTGGTCATCTCACTTAAACCATATTTTATTCAGGTCAAAAATCAGAAACATAAATATTGTAGATACGTCATTTAAAGGAGAGCTTTAGAACAGCGTAGTGTATTACAACAGAATGCAAATTTATATTTTATATCACGCTTTTCACATCAGAAAGACTTCCCAAAGCACTGCTGGCTGGGCACAGGAGCTGGGGGTGGGAGCTGATATGTGTGGGAAGGAATAAAATGGCTGAAGGCACAGTCAAAGAGGTAAGTCGAGGGAACTTATAAGGGAATGGATGGTGGCAGTTATGTACAAATGGCTCCCTGCTAATGGTAAACTGTGTGTCCAGCCAGCCAACACCCTTAGTTGGTATGTCATATATCTGGTTTTGATGGCATTATGTTAATAAATAATGATCCCACATTTGGTATAGCATCTTTCACATCAAGAGGATGTCCCAAAAGCTTCACAGGATATACTGTAAAATGTAGTAACTGCCTGTTTTGTGGGCAAACACAGCAGCCAATTGCGCACCACAATGTACCATAAACACAATGAAATGTATGACCGAGTCTATTTTTGGGATCATTAGCCAGGATATCAAGAGAAACACTGTTCTCTTTGCGAACAGCACCATGGGATCTTTAACATCCACCTGAACAGGCAGGCACTGTTAAATGTTTCATTGAAAGGACGGCACCTTCACCTTCTATCCCCAGCTTTGGAATGCCAGTTTAGGCTATACGAGTTCCAAGTCTCGATGTGGGGCTTGAACCCAAAACATTCTGACTCAGGGGCGAGAGTGCTGCCAACACACATATTGGTCTCAGGGCAACTATTCTATAGAATAGTAAGAGTGAAATGTATAAGCGAAAAGAATAAGGCTGCTCACAAACAAGTTTAAATATGTGAATATGTGAATTTGCAAAGTGAGACAGGATATATATTTAAATGAAAATGAACGAGTCTTACAGGAAGAGAACGATCTGCAGTCTGCACATATTTTGCAGACATCCGCTAGCACATGAAGAAGATGATAAAGGATAATAGATTTCTATGTGGTTTGGTGGTTCAGTGTAATTGTGCCGTTCTATCAGTAATGACGTCCAATATTCAAAGACACTCAAGCATAAGGTTTCCAAACGTATCTGTGGTTCTGCTTAGATGTAAATGTTTTGAAATTAAAATGAATCAGCATTTTACACAATCATGAGATTGAAAAAAATTAGTAGAATAATTTCAGAACAAAATGCTGATCTATCAGAGCTGATAATGTGTTAGTGTTTTTTTTAAATATTAGTAGGAATAGGTTTCATAATTAAAGGTGTCTACTATACATTCTTTTCTGATTATTTTTTAGGTCAACAAGCAAGCACCATGACCTGTTTATTAATATTTTGAAAGAAACAAATGATTAAAATATGTTATGCTAGCTAGAAAACCATCATGATATCTGTTTCAACCTGTCCATTTCTCTTATTCAGTTTTACATGTTTAAGGCACATTGTGTACTTTTGCAGAGTTAGAAGAAATTTATTAGAGAGTCCCGTGGCTCAGTGGTTAGAGCACTCGCTTTGCAAGCGAGAGACCCGAGTTCAATTCCAGGCAGGGCGAAACCTTGGGCAAGTTTCCTTACTCCACACGCCTAATAATAATCCCTCCAAAAAAAAAAACAATAATAAATTGGTCATTTGCAATCCATATGACTGTTTGTGGGACATTGCTGTGCGCAATTGGCTGCCGCGTTCGCCCACAAATATACAGTCAATTCACTTTACAGTGTGTTTTGTGAAGCGCTATATCAAATGCAAGGATTATTATTATTATAAAGAATAAATGTTATTTGAGGAAATGCAAATGAAATTGCTAATTCCCTAGTGGCGGAAATAAAATGGGTCAAGTAGGAGATAGAGGAGATGTAGGATGAGATGGCCCGAGTTTACAGAGCCCCTGACTATCTCTGCATTGAAATTCACATGATGCCTTTTGATTAGCTAGAAAGGACTGACAAGGGTACAGTTAGCAAGGGACTTTCAGTGCTCTAAGACATTTTGCTACATGAAAGGCAAAATATAAATGAAGTTGTTGTTGCCATTTATACTCCTGACTCTGCGGGCAGCAATTCTACAGTTCTTTGCCAGATACCAACTTCAAATTAGAATCAAATTCCTTAATTATCCCTGGCATTAAATAAGGAATGCAGTGTGTTTAGGACAACCCCTCACCCCCATATTTTCATAGCCTCTCTCGCCCTACCTCTGAGACCTCCTGCAATCCTATCACCCTGGCATGCTTCCTGACCACTGTTCAACTCACCCCACCATCAGGCTTTCTGCCAGGTCTCGGGAACTCCATCGCAGCACCCTCTGCTTCATCCAACTCCTTCCCAAGCTGAGTCTCAAAGTTGTTACTCACATTGTTACTTTGAACTCATTCTCCAGTGTTGGGGGAGTGCTGCATTGTGGAAGATGCCATCCTTCGGATATAATAAGATCCTGTCACCTATTCAGATGGACTCTGAAGATCCCATGGAAATATTCAAAAAGTTTCTCCTGATGTCCTTGCCAACATTCCCCCAGAAAAAAAGGGATTAATCACTTAATGGCTGTTTGCGCGGTATAGCTGTGGACAAATTGGCTGCCTTGCTTGTCTACAAACAAACAGTCACTACACTTCACAGTAAATCTTTTGAAACATTTGAGTGTTCTGTAATGTGATAAAGATCTATAGCAAAATACAAGGAGTATTATAACCATGGTTCTTTTGGGTGTTTAAAGCAGGCACTAGCCCTTATAGTGTACAGTACACCGTGTGACAATTTATTTTGTTTGACTGTCATAAAGAGCCTTTATGTGATGTTCCTAGTTATGATAAAGATTATGACCTTGTACCAAAAAAAATTTTTTTGTCTTTTCTTTAAAAGGTTTCCATGAGTTGACGATTGAGTATAACAAAACAATTAATGTAATAGCTGGTCAGAGTATCAGTCTAAAATGCATTCTGGAAAACAAAGAAAACCTCACAATCAGCATGATTGACTGGACCAAAGAAGTTAATGGTCATCCTGAACTGATTGTAATTACGAACGGCAGGAACATCAGTCATGGCAAAAATTACACTTCTTTTCAGTTTGAATCCAAGTCTATACATTCATCAAAAAACAGAAACGGAAATTTATTCATCCCGAATCTAAAGGCTTCTGATACCGGAAAATACACCTGTTCATTCAGTACGTTTCCATTGGGTAACGCAAAAGTATATATGAATCTCAATGTTGCTAATGAAGGTAAGTCCATTAAATATATCACTAACTACTATTCCTGAACATAGGGAGCACAATAATTCAAACAAGGTAGAAGGTACACATAAATACAGAGAGTTTACAATATTTTCTTTAATAAGTATTAAAATAAACAAAAATCTAATGGTTTGCTTGAGGGACATAATAATAAATGCAATATTAATCAAATTCCTTAAAACCAACAGTCACTTATCAAGGAATCAAGGAATTCCTTCTTTGAGGGAATAAGCTACATGGTCTGAAATTCTGAAAGACCATTTTGTCTTAGTTTTTATGATAGCAGCACAGAATTGTTCAATTTGAAGCTATTTCATTTTAAGAACTGAGGAAAACCTGCTTCCAAATTGAGACTGAATTGAAGAATTTTCCACAATTTTAATTTTAAGACAAAATGGTCATAACTGGCTTAAATTAGGTAGATAAATATTCAAAAAATAGGGTGCCTCTTCAACCGAAACATAACCAATAATTGGATGTACACTGATGCTTGGAAACTGTTCCAATGCAATCTACCTTGGAAACAGAATTTCTGCAAGTTGTCAAGAATTCTAACTGGATTTGTTAATAAAAAATCCCATTAAGAAATGGTACAAATTGAACCCCTTTACTAACGATCATTTCCTTCCAATGTATTTGGTTATTTTTTCCTTATATTTCTGAATTATTCCTCTGAAAGGACTGTCAGCAGTATCTCCACCATAGTCAGAATCAAAATACATTTGAGAATGACATGATGAACACAGTTTTTGAGTTTCCTCCCTTAATCTGGGGAAACACATCATCTTCATTTGGTATGGCTCTTAATGGCTTGACTAAGATCTGAAATGTAGCGAATTGCACAGCAAACCTGCACCTTTCCCCTACTTTCCCATTATCCATGATTCTAATATACCAGCACACTGCATCAAAGACACTTTGTTACATGTTAAAGGATTAAGATCAGAAAGAAACATTAATCGGAAAGTAGACCGTCACTAAGTGTGTTTTCTGATTCAAAACAACATTTATAATCTATCAGATCAAATGGAAATGTGTATCGTGGTTCTCCAAAAGATTATAAAATAAACTAACTCCTGCATTTCTTTAATATTCTCTCACTAATGTATTATTTTCAATCTGATCCCTGATCTGATGCTTTATGACACACAATCACAATCTTAACCTACAATAAACATATATTAATGATATTAAATAAACATTATGTCATAAAAAATTGAATTATATTGACAAAAAAACAGTTATTTGCATATGTGTTTCAGTTGATTTATTCCCAATTTGATATCTTAGAAAATTAAATACAATTTATTTATTTCTGGTGAAGTATTAAATGAATCAAATTGATAATAGTTGAGAACTATTAAAAGAAGCAATGTGAGGACATAATTACACCCTCTCATTGCCTAGAGCCTAGGATTTATGTTGGGTACAGGCTTATCACTGCTGATATTTGAGTCAATATAACATTATTATTGTTTCAAACTCAAAGTGGAAAACTGCAAAACTGGGCAGCACCCAGAGTTAGGAGTAACCGCAAATCTGTCAGCAGGTTTATGATGATAACACTGTTATAGATCCTTTGATAAAAAAAGTAAATTTAAATAATAGTGGTTAGGGTGAACACCTAATTTTTAAAGTGTTATGTTTATCATCAAAAATTCAGAATGACAGATATGAGGAATCAAAAAGGGGCATTGTTTTTGTAAGAGGAGCTCTTCTGCAATTAGAGTTAAGAGATAATTGGGTGAAAAGTGTGATCTATGATATGGTCAGCAAGACCAGTTGACCAAGACTGGACACAGCTGGTCATGCTAAGACTCAACAGGAAAAAAAAGTGTTCCTTTCCTCTGGAGTGATATTCCTTAGTTTTATGACCAAAAATTCCTCTCAGCATAATAAAACCTCTTTCATTCAGAAGTGACCTTACATGGTATGAATCAGAACTTAAAAAAAACCTCAGTGTTTTAGATTTATCTTGTGAACTGCGGTCAACCTGAACAGGTATATTTCCATACCATTGTTAATATTTTTTCTGAGCACAGATCTGCATTTTATTAATTTGATATTTTCCCTCAGTTGATTTACAGGAGAATGCTGTGGAACAACTGAATGTGTTTGAAGTAATGCTGAACAGCATAATACAAATCCCTTGTGGCTTTAATGCTGGCGCCAAACACAATTTTACACTGGAATGGTTAACAGTATGTGCCTGGTCTTAATAAAGCTCAAGCATACATAGGATTAAAAGAAATGTTATACTGTATAGATACTTACTGATGGACGGATGCCAAAATTTACCTCTGTTGTGCTTTGACTGTTTCATTTTATTACCGTACATTACAGCTTTAGCCATAGAAGCAGCCTTACATGGTGCTTGAATTGAGAAGTATTGGTATAATGATTACTGATTTCACACCAAATGTGTACATTATTCACAAACACAAGGGATATAGCGGCTGTGGTCCGGATGTGCCTCTTCGCCTTCACTCAAGGTTGTTGGGTCCTCATCTAGGACAAGCATATACTGTTCACGGAGCTGTCACTCTCCTGTAGGATTTACCTATATTAAATAAATATCACTGAAAAATTTAACTTTGTTTAGTAGAATAACATTTGTTAAAAAACTTACCGTGGAATTTTATTACCTACAAATTCTTGGGACCTAAAATCCCTTATACTATATATTGAAATCTACACAAAACCAGGTCAGACAATAAAGCCTGTTTCAAGGGTTCCTATGTAAAAATGAAAAATTACTTTAAACAAAATCTTATTTTTGAAGACAAGTTTTTACAGAGTATGGTTTTACATTTAGTGCTGTGATCGTCAAAATCAATTTGAATGGTGTGCATTGCTGCCATTACACTTGTAGTGCTTGTATCCAACTCAAGTATTACAATTCAGAGGAATCATTTGACTTGTACGTCAAGGGAGGAACAGCAGAATTTCACTTTTTTTTCCCTTGAGATATAACATTTCTAGAACTTGAATACCGACCTTTAGATTAAATTAGATTAGAATATCTCCCCAAAATAAATGGATACAAATTGAATTCCTTCAATATTGCTCAATTTTTAATTGAAAATAAAAAAAATATTTCTTTCATATTAACCTAAGTGTGAATCCATCCACATGGATGGGATAAAATGTTTAAGTTCAAAAGGTTCTTAACTTTTAAAGACCTTAACAACATCCCATAGTTGTAGATTCATTCACATTACATTGACAATTTCCATGAGAGGAGACAGAAATTCTCCTCTCACAGAAAAGGAGACAGAGCAGACAGAAGTTGACATAGACAATGGAAAGAATCACCCTAAGTGCTAATAGCACTAATAGCACCCTAACCCTAATAGCCTCAATAAACCAAGCTAGTGCTCTTGATAGTATGAGATGCAATAGGTCCGCATTTACATTCATGAAAATTTAAATCACACTCCTGTATTGCTCCATGCTACATGATAGTCTTCAATGTAACTTAGATTCATAACTATCAAGTTTGTTCATAAAACTCTGTACTTTTCTTCTCGCAACTCAGGGGTCTCCAAGAGCTTTGCTATTTTTCCCACTTTATTCTTATTCCATGCTAATAAACTCTTCTACACATCATCCAAACCTATCCATTCATGTTTTAAAGGGCTGCTGTCCAGAATGTTACTCTTTAAATAAATGGCTTTCTTATTGTACACATGTCATACACTCTTTCAAACATTTGGGGAGAATTTCCACCTGGGTTTATATTGACCCTGTAAATTCTTATAAGATCTGCAGAAAAGCAACTTCACAAAAAGACTGAATTCAACAATTTTCCAAATTCTGCATGTTTCAAAAAGCAACCTAAATAAGAATAAATCAAACTTAGATGGAACTTCTCCCTAGTACTAAGATTAAAGATAATTCAGTACTTGTATAATCCCCAACAGCACCACTACAACCCGCCCACTCCCTCCGCTCAGCTGGCTCCGGCCTGCTCCACATCCCCGCCCCACCATCAGCCACTCTGCCCCCAACCTCTGGAACTCCATCCCCTAATCACTCTGCCTCGCCCCCTCCTTAGCCTCCTTCAAGTCCCGCCTCAAAACTCTCCTCTTCGACCATGCCATCAGTCACCCCCCTTCCCCTCCCCTCTCCCACCCTGGCCCCAGCTCGGGTCAGAAATGCTGTACACTGTCCAACACCTTGAGACGTCATCCCGATGTGAAAGGCTCTATACAACTGTAATCTTGTTGTTGTTAAATATCACTTTTTATCTTTGTTTATTAGAAAGAAAATGGAACTGAAGAAAGGCTTATATATGCAAACAGGTTTGAAAATGAAATCAATAACATCACCCAATACATAGATAGAATCTCTCTTGGAAGGAACTACAGTTTGCGCATCAATTCTAGTATGACTGTGGATGAAAGAGATTTCATATGTCGGGTAGAGACATCATATGATTCAGGATTCACCATCATAAATAAAGTAAATATATTTGGTAAGTCCTTCTTTGGTTTCTGCAAATTGGCTACACTACAGAAAACTGAGACAAGATAAGGTAAAGATGCAAGGTTATTATTATTTTATTATTTCATACGAATGTAAGACCTATAACTCACAAAACGTGTTTCCGAATGGCAGTGCAGCTTTGGAATTTGTTCTTGTGATATCAGGAAGTAGAGGGAGAGTCAGTATTCCTGTAACAGGGCAGGCAAAACTCACATCCTTATTTTCTCTGATTTTAACAAAACCAAACCCTTGCATTTTATCCAAGCCTAGTTAGATTTCTGGAGAGAAAGCTGGGGTATTATTACATAAGCAATTTCAACTAGCACATTTCAGTATGTCTATTATACATACAGAGCAGATCTCACAACTCATCACTTGCAAAATATATTTTACCCAAATGCACACACACGGTATAAGCTTATAGTTCACGTCCAACTGTTCTTCCCAGTTGTTCCAGTGAGCAAACCCGAATAGAGACTGAGAAAGAAGGAAGGAGAGGTAGAAAAAAGAAGCGCACAGGTTGAACTTAGAGCGGCAAACAGAGTGGGAGAAAAAGGTTCAGGTTGTATTTTAGATTTGTCAATCAAAATTTACCCTGGTACTATCAATCATATGGTCATCATTTTCCACCTACCATTCATGTGTTAGATGTGGAGCTTTTCACTGTATTCACACCTGGGAGTTGGGCCATTTCTTCTGGAGAATGTGAACAATGTGCAAAGAGCATTTTACCCTTTATGTTTAATCCTTCCCTTGGAGGATCCACTATTCAGGTCTATTTGAGACCACTATTCCTGGATATTGGCATTCAACAACAACTTGGATTTATATAGCACCCTTCACCCAGAGTAGAGTCTTGGAGCTCTGAACAATGGCATAGTTTGAATACTGAGCTGGGAAAAAGGGTAGATGACCGTAGGAATGGTTGAAGAAGAAAGTCTTTAGTTGTGAACTGAACATGGGTAAAGAGGGAACAAATGAAACATAGAAAGGGCAGATTTCACCCAAAAATTATTCTGCCTGAAATTCCACCTAATCTTCATCAGATAGTCCATTTTGTGTTACATTTTAAGATTGTGCAAAATTGTTGGAAATTCTTATATCAGTCATAACTTGGTAGCTCATTTTTTACAGTTCTTAAAAACAAACCACTTCCAAATTAGGGTTGAACTTACAAATTTTCTGCAATTATATTTTAAAACTAAATGGTCTTACAGTCTAATTCCAGGTCTTCTATCATCATTTGATTGGAATGACCTGTGTTGATAATATGTTAGTCTCTGTTTGATTATATGGAAGTTTAACTGTATTCAGTTTCTGAGGCTGGTTCTGTGTCCCCAGTGCACATTTAGTGCAATGTGACACCAATAGTAATTCTCTGGGAAGCACACACTTTATCTGACAGCGAAAGAGCAGCCAGACTTGATGTTCTGTGATTCCCTTGATATTTTATTGTTTAAAGCATATTTGATGCATCATTAGAATAAACATATTGTTTATGGTTACATCTTGACAATTAATTCTTATACTATCATTTATCAGATATCTTTCTGCTTTACAGTTTCAATGCAATAGTGCTTTACAGTGGATTTTCACAGAATAGACAGAATAAATGTCATTCACTTTTGCAATAACTTTATGTCTGCCAACATCGATGATGAATTTTCTTCTGATGTGGAAATGAAATAGAATTCTTAAAAAAAGCTGAAAGGACATTATGGAAGCTTAGAAAGTACTTTTTCACATAATTTTACATACGATTATGAACAATTGAAAAGCAACATTATAAAAAGATTATAACAGTAATCCAGTATCTGTAATGCTAGAAATGACTCAAAACCAGATACCAGTCTTTCTTGAATTTGCATTTGAGCCTACTAATAAGGGAGGTTTTGCCAAGTTCAATAGGGCTTACAGTAGACGGAGAGAACAACACATCTAATCACTCACTATGCCAGTGTATTGCTGATGGGAGAAGGATATTAAAGAGTGGGCTTGACAGAATCCACACAATACTTTCACTGGTTCAGGACCCTGTTTTCCTGACCAAGATAAATATTACACCATCATTATACAGTTATTTTAAGCTTCATATGTTTGACATTTTATGTGCCTCAATAATGTTAAATTTATATACAATCTTGGGTGGAACACATTTGGAGAACTGTGTACAGTTCTGGTCAACATGTTACAAGAAGGGTATTGTACCATTGGAGATAGTATAGTGTAGACTTACAAGGATGGGATTTACAAGATGAGTGGATGTAGCTATCAAGAAAGATTGGCTAGGTTGGATTTTATATGTACAGTTGAAAAGATTGACAGAGGATAGATTAAGGTGTTTAAGGTTATGAAAGGATTGAATAAGGTGGACATTGATAGACTCTTCCCACGTGTAGTAGATCTAATAGGATATTTTAGGAGGAACTTCCTCACACAGAGGGTGGTGAGGATGTAGAGAATATGGAATTCACTGCATGGTTGAAGCAGAAAGAATCACAGTATTTAAGAGAAAAACTTAATGCGTATATGAGGGAGAAGGGATTAGAAAGGTTTGGGAGAGGTGGGAGCTTGTGTGGAGTGTAAAAACCAGCACAAACTGACTGGGAGCCAAATAACAGTTGGTTATTTCAATGCACAATCAACTTCTAAATGTATTTTACACTTTATAATAATCCTTACACTTGATATAATGGTTTTCATGTCTTCTAGATGTCTCAAAGCGCTTCACAGAATATACTGTCAAGTGAATAGTGTATTTGTGGGAGAAACTCGGCAGCCAATTGCACACAGCAGTGTCCCACAAACAGATGCAGATTGAGTGACCAAATTATTATTGTTTTCTTTCTTGAGGGATTATTATTAGGCATGTGGAGTAAGGAAACTTGCCCAAGGTTTCACCCTGCTGGGAATCTAACCCAGGTCTCTCGTTGCGAGGCGAGTTCTCTACCCACTGAGCTACAGAGCTCCATATACTTTATGAGTAAAAGTATAAATTATTGTCCAATAAAAACACTCTTGAGTAGAGAGTTTGCTAAATGCTGCAAAAAATATTTTATAAAAACAACATGATGATTAGAATAAAACATTGTAACTAAGGATTTGTCTAAAGTTCAAGTGGATAACTGGGCAACAGTTTAAACAATCCTGTTCTGTAGCAAGATCTTTAATCCATGAGACCATGGTCTAAATTGATCCCAGAAAAAGATTAAAGATTCTTCTCTCAATAATACATTCGACTGTGAATGGTGCCTTTTAAAGCAACTTAAGAATAAATTGATCCATGTTTGACATTTCCTATCTGCCAATATGTTGTCATGGCAGTACTTGCATTCATGCTGATTTGCTGAAGATTTGTACATTGTATGAAATCACCACAATTGCAGTTGCAAGATTTAATTGTTGAGACTTTTACCTTTCAGCTGAACCAAAGACCCCACAAATCAATGAGGTACTGGACTACACTGACTTGAACAATGTACACCTGGCAAGTAATCTTCATTGATAAAATACTGTCTATTTCATGTGATGTAATAGCTTGTAAGATGTATGTTCACTAAAATTGTTGTGAAGTACTGAAGCCTGTGATAGCAAATACACATAATCCATACATTACATATTAAATCTGTTTGCATGTGTTTAATGGTTATATTGTTAGGCAGAAAGGTCTGTTCTCACAATTTTTTTNGTTTTCTCTCACACACATGGAAACATCATGTCACACTCTTTAACAACAAGGAGTTGCTGAGGAGTTGCTTTCATTATAACCCATTACTCCCGACACGACTCAACCACTTGGGTGGTTGCCAGGTTTTCGGTCCATTGATGTGAATACTGAACACTGGTTTGCAATTTGAACTGCGACAAGGTTGGCCAGACAGTAAAGTACCTCTGGCACCGGGAAAAACACTAATTCTATAACAATATTGTCTATCCCATAGAATCCAAACAGAATATTTTCAGGCTATGCATCTTTTTTCGTTCATTTACACATGTAAAAAGCTATTGTGGAAATTTTTTTCATGTGTTATTGTTTGAAACTTAGCTTCGCCAGTGCAGTATGTCACGTAGACCAATTTTCATTTTCACAGCAATGAAGTTAGAAACAATGCTTTCTGTAGGTGATGGCTTCAGAGATCGACACAAAAATGAGTAAAAGATCATTCATATTCATTGATAAATTGGTTTTAACTTCCAGTGGAAATGATGTCAAGTTATTTCCTTAGTATTTTAAAAATTATAGCTTAGTGCTTGGCATGCTTGCAAGGTTGGCAAGAGGAACCTAGGTTCGATTCCTGGACGGGTGAAACCTTAGACAAGTTTCCTTACTACATATGCTTCTGTTTATCTAACAGTAAGTAGAAACTTCGTTGTTAGTCAATTGGAGGATCGTTATCTGGGGGTAATAATCTCTTTAAAAAATAATAAGAATTTGGTCTCTCAATCCACGACTGTTTGTGAGACACTGCTGTGTGCTATTGGCTGCTGCGTTTCACCCACAAAATATACAGTCAATTCATTTTACAATATATTCTATCAAGCGCTTTGAGATGTCTTGAAGACATGATGAAGTGCTATATCAAATGCAAGGTTATTATTATTATTCTGTGAAGCACTTTGAAACATCTCAACGACATGATAAGGTGTTTTATCAAATACAAGGCTTATTATTATCATCATTAAAAAAAAGTTAATATTCATTTTAGGAACTGCACAAACAGCAACATCTTGCACCTTTATATAGCAGCCTTCCCACGGGATAATATTTCAGAGCCCTGCAAAGGCATGATAGAAAGAGCATTGTTGTGTGTTAATGTCATATAAATATGAGTGCATAACATCTTTATTGTGTCTGTGGTTATCATACCTTAAATAATCCAATTTGTTTTCAGACAGCAACTTGTGTCTCAGCAGAAGCATTTCCAAAACCAAATATTACCTGGTACTTGGATGGAAATCCTCTTCGAAATGGTGCTAATGGTATGAGAATCTTTTGACTATACTATAAGCATTATATGTCACGGTTATGCAGTAGTACAACAGAAAGTTCCACTGACAAATGTTGTGGATAGAAATGTGGTAATTAGTAAACAAACAAGACTGTTCTGATTATCTCATTAAATTGTTTTTTTGGAAGCAGAGGCGTGGAAATTGCAGCATATGATGTGATAGTCATCACCAGTGATAATTAACACATCACAAAGGATTTGGTCTGATGTCTATCTGCCTTCTGTCATTATCAAAATGGTTGGGCTACAAACCACAAGGCTCGATTGGCCAAATGTTCTCTTTCTGTGCAGTAATTTCTATCATTTCAAGTTTGAGTACTTGTCTACTGTGAGAGGGCCACAATGTTGCTTGAGAATGTAATGGACTGGTGACTGTTTGTTCTGATTGGTTACCACTGAATTGAGCTTTTGCTTAAATTTCAGCCAAGACATTTGTAGTTTACCTGCTTGAAACATAAATAAAAAGCTGATACTAGATTCAAATGCTTTTTTTCAGGTTCTAATATAACATCTGAAATTTCCCTGGATGCGAAGGGCCTATATAAAGTGAAAACAAAATTGCTTTTACTGACTGAATATGACCAATGGAAGAATCTTTGGTGTGAAGCGATGTTTTCTCTGCCTTCAAACAAAATGGAAGCTATTTCATCTAGAAAGATACAGCATCAGAAAGGTGAGCATTTATTGCTGTCATTCAACATCATTTAGTGGTGTTCTGATTATCTCGTTAAATTGTTTTTTGGAAGCAGAGGCGTGGAAATTGCAGCATATGATGTGATAGTCACTTGATATTAAATTAATCTTCACTTGATATTAAATTATCTTCCATCAGTGCAACTCATGGATATGGCTGGAATCTTTGACGCATGTGATGGGATTAATAAAATTGCCTTAATCACTGAATCATAGAACCATAGAATTATACAGCACAGAAGGAGGCCATTCGACCCACTCTCGTCTGTGTCAGCTCTTTGAAAACAGCTATCCAAATCAATCCCACTCCCCACTCTCTCCCCATAGCGCTGCAAACTTGTCCTCCTCAAATATTATCTATTTCGCTCTTAAAAGTTGTTATCGAATTGGCTTCCACCATCCTTTCAGGCAATGAATTCTCGTTCCAAACAACCTGATGTGTGAAAATTTTCTTCTCACCTCCCCTGTTTCTTTTAACAACTACTTTAAATCAGTGTCCTTGGGTTATCGACCCACTTGCCAGTGGAAATAGTTTCTCCTTGTTCACCTTATCAAATCCCCTCATAATTTCAAAACTTCTATTAAGTCTCCTCTTAATCTTCTCTGCTCCAAGGAGGATAATTCTAGCTTCTCTAGCCTCTCCTGATAACTGAAGTCCTTCATTCCTGGTGCCATCCTGGTAAATCTCCTTTGCACCCTCTTCAATGCCTTGACATCCTTCCTAAAGGGTGAGGCCCAGAACTGAATACAGTTCTCGAGTTGAGGGCTAACCAGTGTTTTATGAAGGCTCATTATTATTTCCTGACGTTTGTATTCTATTCCCCCTATTTATAAAGCCTAGTATCCCATCTGCTTTTTTAACAGCTTTGTCCTGCCAACCTGTCCTGCCAACTTCAATGATTTACTTATATGAACCCCCAGGTATCCCTGTTCCTTCATCCCTTTAAGATTGTGTCGTTCATCTTATATTGTCTTTCCTCATTCTTCCCCCCAAAATGCATCACTTCGCATTTCTCCACATTAAACTTCATCTGCCATGTGTTTGCCCATTTTACTAGTCTGTCTTCTTGCAGTCTGCTTCTATCCTCCTCACTGTTTACTACTTTTCCTAGCTTAGTATCATCTGCAATTACTGTGATTAAAAGGGTCAAATAACTGGCTTGCATTTGAGTCAAATGGTTTATTAACTGTATTGTGCATTTTGGTAAAAGCACTTTGGTAAAATTGCATTTTAACTTTCAAAATAATACATATCAAAAGATATTGCAGAACCTTGTCTAATGCTGTAAATTTTTATGTTGCCAAATGTATACATTGTATCCTTCCTCTGGGTTATTAGGCTAGAAACAAGTTAAGAGTTGGATTAAAATAATAGACCTCTGGGCTGTATGGAGACATTGTAAAATCTTGGGTATTTTATCAAAGATTTTGTTCTGGCATATATATTGGGTACTTTTATTGTCCCAACATGATTGTTCCTCTTTAAGACAAGCAGTTTAGGTAGCTCAACTGAGGTGACAATGTTTACTCCATTTATCTGTCGCACAAGTTACTATCTGATACTGTAGTCCGTGTTGGCCATGAGTTGTCAGACAGACTGCGGTGTGTTAGATTCACCTTAGAAGAATCTATTAGAACCCAATAGATACCTGAGATTATCTGAGACTATGCCATAGCTCACTTGGCATTGATCGTGGTAAAAAATAGATACATCTAAACAAGAGAAATTAGATTGTATTCCAAATGATCCTTCAGTGAGAATCATGGTGAAGAACTGAAGGTCACTGTGCCATGTTTGAAAATAATTGAAGAGAATATAAGATGAGAACAGATGAACAACAACAACAACAAAATTACATGTATAGTGCGCCTTTCACGTCGGGAGGTCGTCCCAAAGCGCTGAACAGTCAGGTGTTGGGGCCTCTATGGGTGGTGTAGGGTTGAGGGAAGGGAGAGAGGTGGCAGGGAGACCAAACATCGAAGAGAAGGGTCTTGAGACTGGCCTTGAAGAAGGCAAGGGAGGAAGCGAGGCGAAGGGACCATAGGATGGAGTTCCAGTGTGTGGGGGCAGAGAGGCTGAAAGCCCGGCAACCGCTGGTAGGGCAGGTCGGGCGGAAGACATGGAGCAGGCCAGCGCCCGATGAACGGAGGGAGCAGGCAGGCTCATAGGGAGTCAGCAGGTCAGAGAGGTAGGAGGGGGCAAGGCCATGGATGGCCTTAAAGGTGAGGACAAGGATCTTGAAGTTGATTAGGTGGGTGAAGTAATTAGGTGGGGTCAAACTTTCTTGTTAAACACAGCATTGTAGGAAAAAGATTTAGAATTTTTTTTAGACAATACTAATTTGGGATTTGTAAATTCACCATTTTCAAATTTTGCAGTCTCAAACCAGGATAGCATTCCAGTATGATACTGAGAAAGTGTTGCATTGATGGATGTGCTAGACATTGGATGAGACATCAAGCTAAGGTCTAATGTGCTTACCGTGGTAGCTGTTTAACAATCCTATGGTGTTATTTCAATAAAACTTATTGTCTGTTGTGATTTAATCTTTTATTCCCTGTAAATAGCCACTGTATATCATGTTTCCTATGCACAATAGTTACATTCCTTTAACTGATTTTCGTTTTCTATTTTTCCAAACAGATCTAGGCAGCATTGAATTTACTCCATATGATCAATATGAGGTGTTTGCTGGAAGCGATTTGAATGTTTTGTGCCATAGCAACAGTTCAGCGACTTTGCAATACAAATGGACAAAGGTAATAAAATCAATAGTACAAACAATTTGGAAGAATAGCAGATACATGACAACTCCATTATAATGTGGTTATCTGAGTTCAATGTCTTAGCAGGCCCTGAATTGTAACAAAAAAATGACCAACTGCTAGGTTATCAGTGGTTTTCCTTTGTGAAGTGAAATCAGCAGTGCTTCCTGCACATAATGTGTATTTGCTACACACTGTAAATGACATCCAGGAGCTTGGCCATTTTACAGACGCCAGCTGATTTGTGTGCCAAAGCCAACAACAGGTCCACAGGACACTCGATTTATAAGCAAACCTGCCTTATAAGTGGGTTGCTGTGTCGTTCCACTATCCTGGCCACTATCTCTCCATCTTCTGAATTCATCATCTTCCCCAACTTTATTTGGGCATTTAAAGAACTTTGGGTTGTGAAAGGCACTATCTAAATGTAACATTGTTGTTATTGTGGTATTTATTTATTTTTTGTTTTAGTGGCAATGCTGGCACAGATTAGTTGCCACATCTGTTTACATAGCTACAATCAATTCTCTTCGAGGAACCTCATTGCAGAAAGTGCTGTGAGATATTTCAGCATGATAAGATGCTAGGTGCTAGATCAAACAAGTCTAGGCTTGAAAAGGGATTTTTTGATGCTTATTTCGTGGATGCACTGACAGATAACATTGTAATAACAAACCCGTTCTTCTGTCCTCACCAAATACACGATATTCAGAACAAGTAGGAGTCATATTGGTCTTATTTATAATCACACATTATCACAAAACCATGTGATGCTGGAATAATTCTTGTTTGAGCAGATATAATTTGAAAGGGTATGGAAATAGAAAAGGGATTAGAGTGGACAGCAACAGTGGATGAGCTGGAACCAGCAGGGTTGAATGTCCTCCTTCTGTGCTGCAAGTGTTTTATGATTCTACAATTAGAATTTTTTTACAGCATAGAAGAAGGCCATTCGACCCATTGTGTAATTCTGATGCCATATATCTGTAACATTTTCCTCCTTGAATAAAAATCAACTGTGACTTGACTTCTGAAGTGATTCAAGATTTGTTGCTTTTAATCAATTTCTTTTAAATCTTGCATTAACTAATAATTGGATGCAGGCTACTTGCAGAGATTATGAGTCCTCGGTAACATATTTTATCCTTACTGCTTAACAGCAAAAAGACGTCAAGGCAAATCAGCTTGGTTACTCTCTGCTTGTCATTAAATTATGAGGAAAATCCTGTTTCAATTGCACATAAGGGGAGAATTGCTTGAGCCTGGAAGACAAGGGATTTATGCAGGCTCAGCAAACGAGAGAGGATCAGTTTCCTACATATTCCACATAATGTGTTTCTCTGTTGTTATTAGTTTAGTATCTTTAATAGTTGGAAATTCTTACCAATGTAACACAAGATCACACAACATCACCTAAAAAAATGCTGAGTAAAAAATAATCAGTACACATAAAGGTGAAGATTCTACCTTATCTCAGTCAAGTTTTGTCTTAACATTTCAGACTGTGTAGGATTGTGGAGAATTCTTAAATTTAGTGTTAATTTGGAATCCGGGTTTCCAGAGTTCCTAATAAGAAATGACTTTCAAATTAAGACTGAGCTGAAAGATTTTCCACAATTCTGCAAAATAGTCTTATAGACTACAACCTGGCAGAATTTCAGATCAATAATTTCTACTCAGCACATTCTTGGTTTAAGAGTGATACTGTGGTTATGACAGCAGCATTGGGTATAGTTTGAAATGAGTACTCCTAGGAGGGAGAGCTTATTATGAGAGCTTTATTTTTAACACTTCATTAATAATTTCCTTATCAACATATTAAATATCTTTAATTAAATGCTGGCATCCTTACATATCATTAATTCTAGCAGAGCTGTGATAAGCCAATGAGGAGGCACCTACAGCAACCACGTCTCTCCCAAAATCCCTTAAATGTGCACCTTTCTTCCTGCCTTCAAAAAACCATTAAAATCCTATATTTTTGACTGTGCTTCAGTGAATAGTCCCAAATTTTCCCTCATTCTCTCTCCCGATTGTCCTTGTGAAGTACTTGGTAACATTCATTCTAAGTGAAAGATGCTATATAAGTGCATGTCAAGAGGTAAATAACTAAAACATCCATGATTCCAGATATAGAGGGCGAAATTCTTAGAGATAATGATTAATGGATTATACAAATGTTTATTATAATGGAGGCATCAAACGGTTTGAGGCAGTGCCATGGGGTATGGCACTCTGGGGTGACAGAATGTGTATCACGTGCAGAATCTCAAATTCTTTAAAAGTCCATTTTTGATCATCTATTTTTAAGAAAAGTTCAAAAGGTGATTTACGGAGGAGAGTCCAAGTGCTTGTTCAGACACTAATGATACAAAATATAATGATGGGAAGTGTAACAAGCAGCTCAGTGTCAGACAGTTCAGAGCCTTCCTTCTTTTATTAATATACTGTTATAGCTGTTTCTATTGCTGCGATTTACAACACCTCAGTGAAAGTTACTGAATTATAAGGTATGAATAGTATTAAACTACAGCCATTACAAAGCTCTCAAAGGCAACACATTCTGCTCTGTTTTAGGGTCAACAGAACTGAGCAGTGAAGCCTCACAGTCAGTGTAGTCACTCCAAGCCCAGATGGAAGGAGGAAACTAGCTGATCTAATGCTATGGTCGTGGGCGGTGTTGCTCACTGTGCACTCACAGCGCAGATTACATTTACTCAACTAAAATCCATACACTTTATGCCAATTTACAGTAAATGGGGAAAAAATTGCACAATGAGTATTTCACGCACCACAAATACTTTCATTTAAAATTAATGTCACTTTATTAATAGATATTAATAGACAGGAGGCACCGGAGAGCAGCGCATGATACAGCTGATGTCTCCCCTGCTTGAGTTCGAGCTGTTTTCATTAAATATTTTGAAACAATCAGTCTGTGCCAAATCAATGCTTGGGACATTCTTTAATTAAATAGGGCAAAAAAACTCATCGAGAATACCTGGCGTAACTAATCTAATGATAATCAGGAATCCAGCATCTGCTCCAAATGTATCTGAGATTCTAAAACCACAAGGAAACTCATTGCAGACCTTTGTTTCTTGACATGTATTTGGATTCAACCTTACAGAGGGCTAACAGTAACTGGGCACTTCTCCTATTTTCCACCCCTTGTTATTTTCTCCTGGTCCCCATGAATCCTCTCTACAAATGCATGGATGGACATGTACAAGTGCATCTGTGAGAAGGGGGAATATTAGTCATAGCCTCCATGGTTTATGCCTGTTGTTAGCATTCTGTCACATGTCAGCTGGAGACACAATTGCTGTGTAGGGAGTTGCAGTATTGCCAGTTATAGTTGGGGGGGAGGGCTTGGGGAGTAAAATGAAAATGAAAAACTGAAAATAAGCAGAAATAACTTGAAGGCTCCTACATTTCTGCCAAACTGAATGAAAATAGATCTTTTGGCACCATTATAACAATAACCACTGTACAGTGGAAGACCACGATGGTTAAATGTCAAAACTCAATCCCAGATGGGACTCAAGCTCTCTTTGAGCAATTGGTGCTGGATTTTAATGCCAAGAAGAGCTTTAAGAAGTAATCACTAGGGATAATTAAGGGAGGAGAAATGATAGCAACATTTTGTGTAGCTATTTTTTATGTGGTTAAGTATGATCAGATTATTCTATTCTATCCATAGACTCAGCCTAAGAATAAGAGATGTTTCCTCCTTATCTTTATAATAGGAAATCCATCATTGAGTATCACTGAGAGCTTCCATAGAGCAGTAACCGATGGCAGTGCACTTTATGCATCTTTATTTTACCTCTGAGAAAAAAAATGCTGAATAGTGCTAATCTGAAAGAAAGCAGTGAAAGCACAACAGACTCATCAACCTCTGAAAGGGAAAGACACATAAAGTTTCAGCGATTCACTACATTAGTTCTGATGAATGCTGACATGCAATATGCTGTAGATACCAAGTGCCACGTTGTGTATTTTCCAGTATTTTCTCTTTTTATTTGACCATACTTCATTGAAAATGCATAAAATAGCACACTGCAGTGATTTTCAGAAGGATTGGCTTTTGGAAAGTGTTGACTACTGGACATGTGTGAACCTGTCATGCTGACCTGTCAGAGCTTCGCATGGATGTCGATTTAATTTCCAAAATCAGATTACACACCATGCAAGCTTCTGGCCTCCGGCAAGAGATTGGCTGTGATCGACATTTCCGATTCATTTTATAATCCCAGCAAATTCCCGCAACAATAATATGACAAAAGATAATCGTGGCATTTTAAAAAATCCCTATGTATCACTCAAATCAGTTACATGAAAGAAAGTTGCATTCAGCACTGAATGGTGGGAAAGAACCAATTCAGTGGTGGTCAATAAAGTAAGAGTGGGTCAAACCAGACAGATTTTCGGGTTGGTTTGACCCATTTTGACTGTGTTTACCTCCTGTGAATGTGAACACGAATCAGAACAGCTAAATCTACAGTACAAGGTCAAAGGTGCAAGGTACAAAGTATGTTTCAATTATCGATTTGTGTTTCATTGAAAACTGCAAACTCTGCTCTTTTGGAAAAAGTATGCAATGAGCTGAAGCAGACTGAGAGGATTCAGTGTTTTGGCTCAGTGTTGGCACACCCTGGTGGATATTTATGGTAGTTACAACCTTGCTTGCACCTGGATTGTGCATAAACTGAATAATTATTATTAATAATCATAAAATGATAATAATTTAATGTTATTACTGAATTTACTGTTATTAGCACCTTTCACATTGGGAGGGCATCTCAAAGCACTTCATTGCAAATTGGATCAGTTCTAATATAAATACTTTCATTCTTTTGAAGGACAATAGGACAGTGTCAAGTTCAGATTTGCTGACAATGAAAAATGTAACGGAGGAAACTGCTGGAATTTACACTTGTAGTGTAAATATTCCAGGGACAAACCTAAGCAGCCATGGTAACATTGTTGTTACATTTAAAGGTGAGATTTACGATAACATAAAGATGTGTTTTGAAATCGAGAAACAATAATCCACATTTAATTTATATTTAGTTAATATTAAAATTCATTTTGCTTGGAACCACATAAGTTACAGTTTTAAAATTTTGGAAATCAAACTGAAGCACAGTTTCAATGATGTACCTTAGACCCAATTGTGTTACTTCAAATAGTTTATGTTTTGATGTCATAGATTTTTCTTCTCCCTCCTCTTATCCTAAAGACTGTGAAATTTTGTTGGTAGACAGTTCAATGGGCATCCACCGGTGCATTTTTAGCAGAAACTACTGGATAACAATGAGCAGAAAAGGGTTTCCCCATCTCTATCCTAGGACAATAAGGCCAACTATAGGCCCTTCACTGACTCCATGGTGAGATCAGCTAATCCAGAGGGGAATAATACCTATGGCCCATGTATGCATGGCTTTGTGCCGCACCATTCGGTGGTCTCCCTCACTAGACCAGCGATACTTGTATAGGGTTTGGTACAGGAGACATTTATGGTCAGAATCTCTGACATCTTCAATGCTGCAGTAAAATGTACATTGAAATTAATCAAATTTATCTTCTGTAGTATACCGATAGTGCTGTCTCCATAAACCACACCACTTACTCCAAGAATGTGACCACTGTACAATCATTCACAACATGTGAAGGATAATAACAAAACGTTTTTTAGTCACATTAAGAGTAAAAGAAAAACAAGCAATGGAATAGGGTCAAATAATGCTGCACAAGTTGCAATAGTGCTAAACATTTGTTTTGTGTCAGTCTTTACCAAGGAGGAGATGGGTAACTTATCTGATCTGAAAAAAGAATTCAAGTATGTCTCAGAGAAAAGTTGCGACACTATTCATATCACTACCAATGAAATTCAATGTGGAGAAATGTAAAGTACTTCACATGGAGACACAAAATCCTGGAAGGGACCATTATTTGAATAGAAGGAAAATAGTATGTATAGAAAATGAAAAGGACCTGGGTCTTGATTGGAAAATGAAATGGTCCTGCTTGACTATAAATTGAAGCTCTCCCAACAATGCTCTGTGGAGGTGAGTAAAGCAAACCAGATGTTGGGATATATCAAAAGATCAATAGCAAGCCGAAATAGTGGGGCAATCCTCCCACTGTATAAATCATTGGTGAGACAATACTTAGAGTACTTTGTACAGTTCTGGTCGCCCCAGTACAAAAAGGATATTGGTGAAATCAAGAAGATACAAAGGAGAGCAACCAAAATGATTGCAGGAATGGAAGGACTGGACCATGAGGAACGACTAAGTAAATTGGGCACGTTCACACTGGAAAGAGAAGATTGAGAGGCGACATGATAGCGGTCTTTAAAATTCTAAAGGGGCTAGACAATATAGATCATGACGGGCTGTTTCAACTTGTCCAGAACAGTAAATCAGAGGACACAACATGCGATTGAAGCGGGGTAAATTCAGAACAAATCTACCCAAACACTCTTTCAGTGAACAAATAGTGAACCTGTGGAACAGGCTCCCCATGAATATGGTTGAACCAGGAAGTGTCAATTCTTTCAAACACAGATTAAATAGTTTTCTTTTAGGAAATAACATTATGGGATATAGTACATAGGTAGTTCAAGACAGTTGTGCATGCGACTGCCACTCAGCTGGAAGGTGAACTATATGCACGTTGGTCTTTTTTCATCTAACATTTCTTATGTTCTTATTGCTCTGTGCAAATTGGCTGCCACTTTTGCCCACAAAACACTCAATCACTGCACTTTACAGTATATCATGCGAAACTCTTAGGACTTCCTTCCAATATGAAAGACCTTATACCCAAATGTAAGGATTATATTTTATGAATTATGTAGTATTGGTGGAGCTGAATTCAGATTGATTTCTAAACACTAAGCTATTGAATAGTCTGAGTTATTGTTTCAAGTGCTTGGAGCTGTCTGCTAAATGGAAGTCTCTGGCTGAGGTTTGTCCATGTGCTTAACCGTATAATTTTGTAGTTGTAAAGAGCATGGATATTCTTTAATTAAGAATGCATTTGGTCAGGGTATGGTAGCATGGCACGGTTAGATCTGGGGGTTAGAGTGATGTGGTCACATTCCTAGAGTAAGTGGTGTGGTTTAGGAAGGTAGCACAATCTGTACACTCAGTCTTTTCATTGTAAAGATTCCTTTGAAGCCAACTGATTCACAACATTTGCAGTCTCCAGGGAGTTTATTTTGTGATTTGAAATCCAGGTTGTATTGCAAATGGCAAATGCGATATTTTTCATATAAAGTTTACATCATAAATACAAAGAAATTATATTCCATGGCCATTGAACATACTTCACTATTCAATGTAGCCACATGCTTATTTGTCAAAAAAATAACAAATAAGTCGCTTGTAAGGCAGCTGGTGGGTATTTAAAGCACCCAACAGGAAAATAGCAGCATAACCAGCACTTACACCCAAGAAACACCTCAGGATAGAACATCTAGTCCAGAGAAGGCCATGTGGGTCATATCAACTTTCATAAACTCTGCTTCAATCCGAGATCTTATTGAAGCCAAATCCCTGCAAGTTAGGTAATGTTCACATGCTTTACTGGAAAAGATGTACTTTACAGGTAGCAGCATTTTTTGGTACAAGATACCATTTGCCTTGTCATTTTCCTTACAAGTGCTTTTTAAACTTCTATAAGTACCATTTCAATAACCTGCTTTGTACTTTACAGATAATTACACGCCACCCACTAAAGTGACCTCAGAAACATTGTTTCCTGCAGCGTCTAGCAAAGGTAAGGTGTGATACCCTCATAACCATGTATCTTTGGTTATCTTCTCTCCTCCACCACTCCCTCTCCATTAAAGCCCTTACTGTCCATGATCTCATCCTGGATAAGTACATTTGATATTCTTGGGTTTACAGAAACCTGGCTCTCTCATGGTGACCCTGCCCCCCTCATTGAAGCCTCCCCTCCTGGCTACACTTTTCACCATACCCTGGCCCCAATCATTGTGGCGGCGGAGTGGCCCTCATTTTCCAAGCTTCCCTTGGTCTATCTCTCTATTCCTCTAGCTGTTTATCCTCCTTTGAGCACCTCACCCTCTACTATCTCTCTTCTTTCTCCCTCAAAATCCTCCTAGTTTACTTCACTGCCCTCCTTTCCTCCCTAAATCTCACCCTCCACATCGACTCGCTGACTCACAACTGTGGCCACTCTCTTGACCTTGTCATCACACACAGCCTTGACATTTCTGACCTGTCTATCACCGACAAGACCATCTCAGACCACTTCCTCATCTCCCTCTCCTCGCACAGCCCCTCCCCTTTTCCAAGCCCTCCACCATTTTTTTCTGCCCCTGGATAAAGCTTCCCCCTGAGTCCCTCACAATTGCCCTCTCTTCCTCGGACCTCCTCTCCCTCTGGTCTTCCACCCACAGCGATCCTGATGGAGCTATCAAGCTGCCGAATGACTGTCTCTACACCACCTTCAATTACCTGGCTCCCCTGAAATCCAGGGTTGTTCCAAACCCACCCGCTCCCCCTGGTATAACAGTCATCTCCATTCACTCAAAATACAAACCTGGATGCTCGAGCACAGATGGCAGAAATCCAGCCTCACTATTCACTCCCAGCTGTAGCTGGAGCGCCTCCACACCTACCAACTCTCTCTTTCACAGCCAAAACTGACATTTGCTTCAAAGTCATCCTGGAGGCAAGCAACAATCCAAAGACACTGTTTTCCACCGTATTTCACCTCCTCTGTGCACACCCTCCAGTTCCCTCTATCCTCACTCAAACGCCAAGTCAAAGAGGTCCTAGACTTCTTCACCTCAAAGATTGAAAACTTCATCCTACACCCACCCCCATGTACCCTTCCACCCCACCCAGGCTATTTACACCACCGTCTCCCTCAGCCACGGATTCTGCCACTCCCACTCCTTACACTCTTTTGCCCCCATTTCTCCCTCCTCTCTCTCAACCACAATTACCCAGATGAAGTTCACCATCTATTGCCTCGACCCCTTCCCTGTCACTCAATTCCCCCTTCTCTCCCCTCTGCTGACCGACACGGTCAACCAGTCTCCTCAGGCTCTGTTCCATCTCTCCCATTTCCAACCTACCCTTCCTTGCCAAAGTCCTGGAACGCATTGTTGCAAGTCAACTTCGGTCACACCTCTCCCTCCACTCCCTCCTCGAGCCCAGCATTCTGGTTTTGGACCTGCCCACAGCACAGAGACAGTGCTTGTCACAAACAATGTCCTCTCTATCTGTGACAGGGCTTCCTCTGCCTTCTCGTCCTACTGGAGTTCTCTGCCGCTTTTGGCACAGTGGATCACGCCATCCTCATCCACCGCTTCTCCTCCCTCATCCATCTTAGCAGGACTGCACTCACCTGGTTCAAGTCCTACTTAACCAACTGCCTCCATTTCATCTCGGCACATGGTTTCTCCTCCCTCCCCCACCCAGTCACCTGCGGGGTACCCCAGGGCTGCATCCTTGGCCCTCTTCTTTTCCTTATCTATATGTTCCCTCTGGGTGATGTCATCTGCAGACACAGGGTAAGCTTCCACATGTATGCAGATGACACACAAATCTACTTTGCCTCCTCCAGTACCAATTCCAGATCCGGCGATGTTCTATCAGCTTCTCTGGTAGACATCAGGACCTGGATGAGTGTAAACTTCCTGCAGCTGAATATGGACAAGATGGAAGCCAACTCCTTGGCTCCCATCAACATTTTCATTCCTGCGGATCTGAACTCCACAACCTCCCTGGGCTTTCCCTCACACTCACTGGACCAGTGTGCAATCTAGGCATCTAGTTCGACCCCCAGCAGTCCTTCCTTCTCCACATCTGGTGCCCGACAAGGACCGCCTTCTTCTACCTGTCCAGATTAAAAATACATGTGAGATGAAGAGCTATATCTTGTACTTAAATACTTAGGGTCACAATAATAGTAGTTTGGCTCTTCTGTATTCTGCCTTTGAACCTGTTTAGTTGCGAGGAGACACAGTGTAACTGGACAGCAGTGCTCAGGACCATCATTCTTTAGAATTCCAATGCTGAAGTGAGTGATGAGTGGGGATGTCACCTCTCACTGACTGCTGTGCCCTTTGTTCACCTTTCTTGACTCGAACTGGAAGCTGCAGTTGCAGAAATAGAAGTGCCAGAGATAGATCTCAGAAACTGGGCTGTAGAGTAGGTGATTTCAAATTTGGAGGTGGGGAAGGAAGCGATTGAGCTGCTCTTGACCTGTCATTTCCAGCTCAGAAAGAATACTTTTGTGCTCTCATTGAAATCCCCTTGGAAATAAAGGTATGTTTGCAGAAATGAAAACTTAACAGTGAAGATTAGTCACTTAGATGATACAACAGCAAAATCACCAAGTCCTACCTCGTAAGACCCCATAAAATCATGCTGTCATATAATTTAAATTTGCACAGATTTGTGAAAAATTCAATTCAGTCTTAATCAGGTGCTGGTTATTTTGGAGAACTGGGAAGAAACGCTGTCCAATTTAAGACTGAATCTGAGAATTGTCCACAATTCTGCATGTTCTTAAATTACAAAAATAAATGAACCTACAACCAAAACTGGGTAAATCTTTGAGCCACTGACCCTGACTCTATGGAATTGTAACCTAACACAAGTCAGTGCCTGCAGGAGAGGAAAGGAAAATTAAATGTAAAATACAACAAATCTATTCTATCCAAGTGTAGCCTATTTTTAAATTCTGCCTTCAGTTTCAGTACTCTTCCCTGCTTGGTGTTGTCCTTGTGTATAATTCAAATCGTTATTTTATTCACATAATTCATAACAGTTCTGCAGAAACATGCAGAAAAAGGAAATTAGCTCAGCATTTTCATTCTTGAACTATCTACATACTTCAGAGTTCCATTGTTTTTGTTTCTAATAGATTCAAAGAAATACTATTTGCACTGCATTTCAATCAAGTTTTAAAAACTATGAGTGCAAATTCTTTTCTATGCGAACACATAGAGACTAGAGGCTTAGTAGATTATCAAAGGGTTAGACATGGTGTTTAGTTCTTATTCTTTGTGAGGAACAGAAGAGTCTATTTTAACCCCAATACACTTCATATAGTAGTTTTGAATTTTGATTACACTTCAGCCCATTTTAATGCACTTCACTATAGCGTGTTTTTATGTATAATGGATTATACTGTGGACAACAATAACAACACTACATTTGTATAGCGCCTTTCACATCCCAAAGCGCTCAAAGTTCAGAGTTTTGGACCTGAGCTGGGGGTCGGGATGGGGAAGGCAAGGAGGAAAGCAGAGTGATCGAAAGCACAGTGGAAGAAGAGGATCTGGAGATGGGTCTTGAAGGAGGCAAGGAAAGGGGCGAGGTGGAGGGACTGCAGGATGGAGTTCCAGAGGGTGGGGGCAGAATGCTAGAAGGCCCGCCCTCCAATGGTGAGACGGGCGAGGTGGGGGATGTGAAGCAGACCTGAGCCTGCTGAGCGGAGGGAGCCAGCAGGATGGTAGGGTGTTAGGAGGTCGCAGAGGTAGGGGAGAGCAAGACCATGGAGTGCTTTGAAGGTGAGGAACAGGATTTTGAACTGTTTCCTCTATGTGATGGGAAGCCAGTGGAGTCGGGCGAGGATGGGGGTGATAGGATCACTCAGCCTAGTGCAGGAGAGAAACCGGGCTGCAGAGTTCTGGATGATCTGAGGCCTTTGGAGGGAGGAGTTGGGGAGGCCGACAAGCAATGAGTTTCATAGTCAAGCCTCGATGTGATGAATGTGTGTATGAAGGTTTCGGCGGCCTACGGTGTTAGACAGTGCAGAGCCGAGCAATGTTATGGAGGTGGAGGAAGGCAGAGTGGGTCATGGGCTGTGGGATAGAAAAGATAGTTGAGGGTCAAACAAGACGCCAAGGTTCTGTACTGGCTTAGTAAGATGGAGTGTGCATCCATGGATGGTTATGCTATGAGCCCCTGAGGTGTGGAGATGCTGAAGGGAGCTAAACAGTAGGGCCTTGGTCTTGTTGATGTTCAACTGAAGAAAGTTAGCTCTCATCCAGGACTTGATGTCTGACAGATATTCTGTCAGGACATCAGTGGTCCTGGAGTCAACGGTGGAGGCAGAGAGGTAGAGTTGGGTGTCATGCGCATACATATGGAAGTTGACCCCATGTTTTCAGATGATGTCACCAAGAGGGAGCATATAGCTATTGAAGAGGCGGGGAGCAAGTACAGAGTCCTGGGAAATGCCGCACAAGAAGGTGCAGGGGGTAGAGGAGCAACCGTTTGTGGAGATAAAGTGGAGGCAGTGTGAGAGGTACAATCTGAACCAGTCAAGGACAGAGCCATGAAGTCTGAAGTGAGAGGAGAGGCGGTGGATGAGAATAGAATGGTCGATGGTGTCAAAGGTAACAGAGAGGTCAAGGAGGATGAGGAGGCAGATGATCTGGTGTCAGATGGACAGAATGTCATTTGTCACTTTGACCATGGCTGTTTCTGTGCTGTGGGTGGCACGGAAACCCGATTGGATGGATTTGTGAAGGGAGTGGCGGGAGAGGAAGGAGCAAAGCTGGGAAGCAGCAACTCGTTCCAGGACCTTGGAGAGGAAAGGGAGTTTGGAGATGGGGCGGTAATTTGAGAGTAATGATGGATCCAGGGAGGGTTTTTTAAGGATAGGAGTGATGACGGCCATTTTTAATGGGTTGGAAACAGTACCAGTGGACAGGGACAGGTTTATGATGTCTGCGAGTAGAGGGGCAAGGAGGTGGAGCTGGGAGGTAAGGAGAGATGATGTCAAGGGAGCAGTTGGTCGGTTTCATGCAGGTCATAGTGGTGGTGAGAGAGGAGTGGGAGACAGGTTTGAAGTTGTGGAGGGAGGGATGGGTAGGGTCTGGGGTGAGAGGGGAAGATGGCGAGTGTGTAGACAGAAGGCCAAAGGCAGCTGAGTGGATTCCCTCAAGTCCAGCATCGCCTCACAGTTGGCTTTGGAGGTGAGGATGGGCGAGGCGTGAAATGCTGGGTGGAGGAGCTGGTTGGTGATGGGGAAGAGGAGCCTGGAGTTGTCTTTGTCCTCCAACATTGTCTTGAAGCAGAACAACGATTTAGCAGTGGCGAGAGCCAAGCATTAGGATTTGATAATGGACAGCCAGATCTGCCGATAAAACATTAAGTTCGATTCAAAGCCAGGTGCGTTCAGCAGCACGCATCTGTGCTTTGAATGAGTGGAGGTGGCTGGTGCACATGGTGACTTATGTGAGTAGGAGACAGTTCAGGAAGTGAGGGGAGCAAGGGAATTGAGAGTGGAAGAGAGGGAGCTGTGAAGAAAAGTGACCGAGGTGGATAGGTCATTGCAGGAATAAGCCCAGCGGGGAAGGAGTTCAGAAGACTCTGAGACAGCTGAGAGGGAACGGGTGGGGAGATGTTTTTTCCAGGGGCGATAGGAGATGGAAGTAGGTTGGGTGGGGAGAGGGATTGAGGAGTTAAGGGAGATGAAGTGATAGTCCAAGATCGCTTTGTCGATGGTGGTGAGGTTCAAGAGTGTAAGGCTTGACTGTAAGCGATCACCAAGTCAAGGGGATGACCTCGGACGTGGGTGGTGGAGTGGAAGTAGAGGGAAAGGTTAAGGAAGGAGATAAGGGAGGAGAAGTCAGCAGAGGCAGAACAGGAGGGGGTGAAGTGAAGGTTGAAGTCGCTAGGATGAGGAGGCAATCGGAGCAGAGGGAGAGGTAAGATAGGAGGGTGGTGATGTTGGGGAGGAAGGTGGGGAACCCCATTCACTGTGCATGCGCATAGGAGGCCTCTTGTACCTGAGCTCTGACAGTTTTTTCATGCTAAAATGGATGGTTTTCAGGTCATTAGATTGCTGTCAATAATCTTCATTACTTTGCACATGCCACAGAAAACAGGAAGTGATGTTGGAGTGCCCTGATGACCTGGAAATTCACCATATTTTCTCTTTGCACAGGAACCAGCTAATGTGAAGGGAGCGTGCTAGTCAGTTGCAGATATCATACTTGAACTTTCTATGATATGGTTGAGATCTTATGAATCCCAAACACTGCATTATAATGGGGCTCTGTTGTATAATAATCCTTTGAGCAGTTTGAGATATCCATACACCGTAAAAGACGCCATATGAATGCAAATTGTATTTTATTGTATAATCCTTGCATTTAATAAAGTACCCCGAATATTGAGACCATCTCAAAGTGCTTCTCAAAGTTTCTGACAGTGTATTTGTATGTGATTTGTATTATATGCTACATTTGTATTATTTGTATTTCAAGCACTCTGAGACTCTACCCTGCATATAGGGTCCTATATAAATGCAAGATGTTGTTGATGCTGTTATTATATACAACATACTTGTCTTTATACAGATCTCTTTATAATATAACTTTTCCTTCAGGCACTGAATCTTATACAAGCAGCAATTTCATTATCGGTATCGGACCATCTTCTGGTACAGATTCATTTACTACCTTTGAACCATCTAACCATACTGAAGCAACTGAAACCATTCAACCATCCCCTAGAATTGGGCTATCAGTCAGCACAGAGGCATCAATCGGCACTGCTTCATCCACCATCTCTGACTCGTTGACTATAAATTCAACATCCATCACCATTCAACCTTTGGCAAGCAACGGACCATCAATCAACATTAATTCATCCATCAGTAATGAACCTACAATTACTGATCAGTCAAACTTGATTACTCAAACATCAACTAGTCGTGAGCTAATCTCTACCGTCAAATTAGGGAGCGAAGAAGGTGAGTAACCTCTTATCACATCTTAATTGTACACAAAAAAAAATTTCAGAGGTCAAATTGCAATAGGGACAACAGTAAAAACAAGGAATGTGCAGTACAGGGCAGGATCATTTGATTTCACATAAGTATTTTATGGAGATTTTTGTATTGACTTGGTAATAATAATAATGCTTACATTTGATGTAACATCTTTCACATTTGGAGGATGTCTCAAAGCTCTTCACAGGATTTACTGTAATCCGCATTTTGTAGGTGAATATGACAAGCAATTTGTATGCAGAAATATCCCAAACAGCCATGATCAACAACAACAACAACAAATTGACCTTTCACATCAGGATGACGTTCCAAGGCACTACAATTTTAACTGGGAAATTGTTGCCCAGGACACCAGTGGAACTCCCTTCTCTTTTTAAGTAGTGGCATGGGATCTTTAATGTCCACCTAAGCAGGCAGATGGGACCTTGGTTTAAGATATTCAGGCACCTCCAACAATATAATACTCTTCCAGTACTGTATTAATATCAGCCTAGCATAAAGGCTCATTTTTTTAAGATGGAGCTTGGACCCACAACCTTTTGACTCAGAAGCAAAAATTTTAGCGATTGAGCTATGCTGTCACCAAAATATCATGAGTGTACCTGTAATTTTTTTTGCTCCATTCTACCCTTCTAATTTTTAGTGAATTACTGCAAAAACAGTCTCAGCATGAACCTGGTTTAAACCACACATTCACAAAGCAATTCATGCTGGAGCCTGGATATCTTGAGAAGATGGTCTCAGCAAGACACTGATTTGTAACCTTGGCTTGTATAAAGAATTACTGCAAAGCATTACATTTTCAGCCTCTGCTGGGAAATGGTCCCTTACAATTTCTTCAATGCTTCAATCTTGCAAACAACCCAGCTCAATAAAAAAGATAACACCAGTGAGCCAACCAAGTTCTACAGATTCTCTTAGGAGTGAATCCCCAGCACTATGCCCTTCGCTGGCATAGAGTGATTGGCAGCAGGAAAAATAAATTCTGCTCCCTACTCCAACAGTACAGATCAGGAGACCAAGAAAGGTTGTCCATTCCTGATGGTACAGTGCTAACTCAACCCCTCCTAGCAATTGATTTACCTTATTACATTATTCCCATTCCTGATGGAGAGTTGAGTGCGTTCACTTTGCTCTATACAATATTTTTAATGTAACTAACTTTCTATGGAAAACATTCATATTTTCCATAATTTGTGAATTTTGATAAGAAAATCTAGTTTGTTTCCTTTGATCTGACTTGTTACTGTATATAACTTATTACTGTATATTATGCAGAATCCGAAGGAACTGTTTCAGTGGCTATCGTGGTATCCATAATCGTAATCCTAATAATGTGTACAGCATTAGCAATGTACTTAATCAAACGATGGCAAAGCAGGAAAATGTAAGTACTACATTGTTTTGTAGAGGTTTACACTGTCTTATTTTTAATTATTTGGATGTTGTTAATTATTGCTAAATATTGCCATATTGCTAAATGTCTGCAATTTACGGTAGTTTGATATAGATCCTTGATTCTTATACAGGAGGTACTGGGCTTATAGTGCAGTATTAATTTGAATTGCATCAAGTCTCAGCTAAATTAATATTCATTCAAAAGTGCAAAGCATGAATACATCACTCAGATAAAACTCCTCCACAATTCGTCATTTGCACATCTCAGAATCATTACATATCTGATTATATCTAGTTTTTTTTCTGTCAAAAAATGACCCTTTCACATCATTTGCAATATTTTTTATTGCAGTTATGAAGTTAACCAAGTACAGGATTTTGGAGGAGCCCAAGCTAAGAACAGTGGTATGATTCTGCTAAAAGAAACGTTATTGATAAATGTTGGTTGAAATAAAAAGCACATCAGAACCTATATTTTTGAGGTAAAAAAAACACAATACCGTTGTCACTGATATAACTCCCAGTTCACTGATACAACTCCCAGTCCTCCCAAAGAATAGTTCCTTAGAAATTACAATCTCAGTCCAGAACGGCAAAGAAATTAAAAACAAAACTCCAAAAAAAACACAATTTAAAGTTTGTTACCATTTTATCTGCTTCTTTGCCATTTTAATCAAAGTGCTGCTGGCTCCCAAAGAAAGTGGAGGCATCATCAATTTTACAACATCGATTTGGGATTATTTAATGGTGAAGCATTTGATTTTATGTGTGGACACGTAGATTAAGTATTCCACATGTAATGTAGCATAGCATTGAAAATGGAGAGGATTTAGGCACAATTTCAACTTGGAGCCAATGGCATGACCCATGGGAGGCTACAACAAGACATTCCAAATACTGTAATGGTAAGAACAGCTTTAATGCTGATGCTGCACAGCAGCAGGAAACTTGTAGTTCCCAGCAAGGTTTATTTTACACAGGAGGGATACTGAACTACATAATTTACAGTGCAATAATAATGCACAGCAATAATATTCACTGTCCTCAGTCTCTTTTACAATGAGTTTTTTCTGCTTGTGTGGCTTGAATTTAATGGTCTCTTCGTATCCCATTTGATAAGTGTAGTACTGCGCTGTAAAGAGTTCCAAGATGCTATTCTACATGAAGGTGGTTATATAAATCAGAGTTGTTGTTGAAACAATATTTACTGATACCTCTGCTCAATGAATTTTGGTGGGGGAGTTATGTTTCTAGGATGTCTCATCTTTAACGTGTACCAGTCATGCCACATGCGAGACTGCTGTTATGCTGCAGGCTTTGCACATAGGTTTTCCACACAAATTGTGTGAAAACAACAACCACAACAACAGCAAAATTACATTTGTAAAGCGCTGTTCATGTCGGGAGGACTTTCCAAGGCACTGGGATGCCAACATATCTGAACATTGAGTTTTCATAAAGAGGTCCAAAATCCATAGCCTGGGGGAATGTTACGACTTGTAATGAAGGATCCTCCCTGATGCTGTCCTTCAGATGCTGATACAAGGGTCAAGCTCTGCCACTATTAAGTACTCCGAGACGTTACCCCATGTGAAGGGCACCACAAAATTACAAGTTGTTATTGTGGTTGATTGTCACACTGTATATGTTCAGCATTTCTCAGGTTTTTTTCTTGTATTCTATCTACAATAACAATAATTCTTGCGTTTGATGTAGCACTTTACAACATGTCAAGACACCTCAAAGGGCTTCACAGGTTTTTTATTTGTAAAGTTAGTGATTGTGTAATATCTTTCCAAGTTACATCTCCATACCTCTTAGTGGTGTGATGAATGATTTATCTTTGAGGCCAGGGAGGAACTTTGTAGAGAACCCCTTTGAAGGACACTGAACAACTTTGCGAGGTTCAGAATAGAACGTATTATACATAGTCATAGAAGGAATGGACTTGATGGGCAAAATGGCCGATTCCTCTTTTCCCATCCATACTTTATTTAGGATTCAGAGCACTTCAATGCATAGTACTGTAACTTCAAATTTAACTTTATAACTTTTATATGCATGGTACTATGAATAAAAGATAATGATTTTGATGTTGATGGTATGTTGTAGAATGGATATAAATATTAAGCTCAATTATCTATTAAATGTAAATCTTCATATCACAATTTTGCACAGCTTGTCACTCTCAGGTGAACAGTCAGTGAATTGTTTAACCAGGTAGTTCAGGGTGAAATCAGTGTGTGTATGGTACCTCTCTTTACATCAGGTAAAATGAGCAGAAAATGTGAATCAAATTGTCTTACCAAGTCATTTTAAATCCCTCTCTGCTTCATGAACTCTATTTTGCCTTAGAATCAAATCCATGCTACACTCAAATCATTAGTCCACACTGAACAAATCTTTAAAAAGCTTTGAGATATGCAACTAAAGTGCATGGAATTGTGATACTGCACTCGGAACTATTAATGACAGGAACCTAAGGGCTTTACAAGGATATTCATCATGCTGAAAAATACAAAATGCACCCGCATCTGTTTAAAATATTTATACTGTATAAAAATTCCTTTAGCTGTGAAAACAAGCATTTCAAGAGTCTTAGATGGCAAAATGACAAACAGAGAAATATGGAAAGGGACAAAGTATCCAATAAAAGAGAAAATAAAACTGAGAATACACTGATACAGGATTCAATGTAGATATTTAAAAGCTGGAAGTACTTTTTAACCAAGTAAATTACTTCCTTGTCTCTATTTGGTAAATTGTAGGTAAATATTTTGAAGAGTTTACAAGGTATTATACAAAAGTACTTTTGATTGTGAATAACCACGTGGTTGTAATAAATATCTTGTTTTTCTTTGATTTAGGGATGGACCTCCACCATTTAAACCCCCTCCACCACCAATAAAATACTCAGCCATTCAAGGTCCTACTGCATATGACTGAACTGTGAGGCAGAAGCAACACACTTCTTTTTGCAATTTACTTTTCATTCACTTTTAATTGTGGTGCAGTATTCAAGTGTAATAAATCCTTTTTCTTTTGTGCATGTGTTATAAGAGCAAACATTATAAACATCCACAGGTAATATTCTGCAATTTCTCTAAATTGTGAATAGGTCTGATGGAATGTACTGTTTTAATATTTCTAGAGTTTATTGCCTGCCCTGAAGATGTTTGCCCCTCCCTACCTCAGTGACCTGCTAATCCCTTATGAACCTGTCCGCTCCCTCCGCACCACGTCCCCCACCCGGCCCGGCCCACCAATAGAGGTCGGGCTTTCAGCCTCTCTGCCCCCACCCTTTGGAACTCCAACCCACATTCCCTTGGTCTTGCTCCCTCTCTCCCTTGCCTCCTTCAGGACACATCTCAAGACCCTCCTCTTCGACTGTACCCCAATTACCGCCCCCCCACCTCCCCACCTGCCACTCAGGTCCAAATCACTGACTGTCCGACATTTGACTGGGACATCCTCCTGATGTGAAAGGCGCAACCTAAATGTAATTGTATTGTATTATCAATGTTATAACCAGAGTATAGAAATGTGGCAGAAATCGTACCAAATAAAAGATCAGTAATTTCAATTAATGTGAAAGTAGCTAACTTTATCCAACATAGTCAAAATCTCAGAAACAAGCCTGCTGATGACCATAACAATTTACTATTGTATTGCCTCATGGAAAAGAACATCTTAAACTGCCTGTATGACACAAACACAATAACATTTCTCCCAACATATAAGAAATGTTTTTCAGGTGCCAAATTCCTCTAGTTGCAATAATATGTGTGTGTTTTATAATGTTAACTCTGCAAATGAGGTATCAAAAAAGCTCATACAAGTATCAACAAAAAAGTCAAAATGTCTCTCCCTTTGACTTGCCCCTTTCCACACCTCCTTCAAGGTCTGCCTCAAGACCTTCCTCTTTGACTGCGCTTTCAGACATCTTTCCCACTTGTCCCTAACCCCCAGCTCAATACACTAAATTAGTTATCTTGAGGAGTAGCGGCCAGGATACTGGCAGAAAGTCTCTTCTCTTTCGAATACAGTAATGAGATCTTTAACATCCCCTTGAACAGGCGAAAGTTCACTCACGGGACCTCAGTTTAACCTCCCTTCCAAGGCAAGTCTGAGAATGCAGTACTCACCCAGCACTGCTTTGGAGTGTCAACCTAGACTGGATTATGACTTGGAGCATGAACTTATCTGAATCTTGAGTGCTACCAAATTAGCCAGGCTAACATACAAGTAACAGTAAGACAATTGAGAGACAGAATAGATAAAGGAAGGAACTGAATGGCAATAATTGCGAAAAAACGTTTAAACCTGTCAACCTACCACCAAATCAAGAGAACAGAGGAAATGATTATCATGTTATTAATATTCCTCCTAAATATTTCCCGATCTTGTTTGAAAGCTAAAAACATAAAATGGATTGAAGATAGAAAGGAATGTTATAATAATACTCACATTTGATATAGTGCCCCATCCTTGATATTGAAATGTCTTAACACACTTCACAAGATTTTTGCTGTGAAATGCAGTGACTGTTTATTTGTAGGTGAACACAGCAGCCAATTTGCACACATCAATGTCCCACAAACAGCCATAAAGCGAATTACTAATTATATCTGGAGGATTGTTGGCAATGTAAAACTCCCTTCTCAAATAATACCATGAGATGTTTAGTGTGAAGTATGTTAACATCCAAATGTGAACAAGCAGAGGAGATTGTTTAATGTTTAACATCTTGTCTGGCACTTTAAACAATACAGCACTCCCTCAGCACTGTAAATTTAAATTTCTGATGCCAAACTTGAACAAGCTTCTGATTCAAAGGTGAGAATGCTAATGTTTAACATAAGAAATCAGTTTATCTCACCAAAGCTTTTTTTCCGCTTGTTAAAGGCATCCAATTATATTTTTTGCGGGAAATAGGGCGGACACGGTCAAGAGCCCTGCCTTCTTCCACTGTAGTAGGCAGGGCTCTTGACCGTGTCCACCCTATTCCCGCATCTCTGCCCTCACTACTTCCCAGTCTTCCCAGAACCATGATATGGTAACCCTAGTCCTCACCTTCCACCCCAACAGCCTCAACATCCAACAAATAATTCTCCACCATTTCTGGCACCTCCAGCATGATCCAACTACTACATATCTTTACCCCTCTCCCCTCTCAGCATTCCGAAGGAACCATTCCCTCCATGTCTACCTGGTTCATTTCTTTAATCCTGGAGGCGAAGGGCAACCCCAGGCTCCTGTTCTCCACCACCAACCGGCTCCTCCGCCCTCCCCGCCGTAGATTCTTTCCTCTGACTCCCACTGTGAGGAAATGCTGGACTTCCTCGAGTCCAAAATCGAGGGAATCCGCTCAGCTGCCACTGCCCTCCCAACTTCCAACCCCTCCCTACCCTACTCCCACACTCTGACCTCCTTCCACACCTTTGATCTGTAACCCCCTCCTCTATCATCGCCACCATATCCTCCATGAAGCTCACCACCTGCTCCCTGGACCCCATCCCCACTCCTCTCCTTAAATCCCAGCTCCATCTCCTTGCCCCACTCCTCGCCGACATCATCAACCTCTCCCTGTCATCTGGCACTGTTCCTACCCCCCTCAAAACAGCCACTATCACCCCCACTTGAAGAAACTTTCTTTTGACCCATCACAGCTATCCAGCTACCGGCCCATCTCCAATTCCGTTTTCTGTCTAAGGTCCTTGAGAGAGCCGATGCCTCCCAGTTTCGCTCTTTCCTCTCCTCCCACTCCCTCCATGAGCTCCTCCAATTGGGTTTCCGTGCTGCCCACGTCCTCCTCAACCTCCCCGCCGCTTTTGACACTGTGGACCATTCAATCCTCCTCCACCACCTCTCCTCCCACCTCAACCTCCAAGGTTCTGTCCTTGACTGGTTCAGGTCCTACCTTTCACACCGTCTCCCCTTCGTCTCAACAAACGGCTTCTCCTCCAGCCCCCGCACCGTCTTGTGCGGTGTTCCTTAGAGCTCTGTCCTCGGTCCCCTCCTCTTCACCCTCTACATGCTCCCCCTTGGTGACATCATCCGCAGACATGGGGTAAATTTCCACATGTATGTGGATGACACCCAACTCTACCTCTCTGCCTCCACCCTGAACTCCAGGATTATTGGCGTCCTGACCGACTCCCTGTCCGACATCAATCCTGGACGAGGCACAACTTTCTCCAACTGAACGTCAGCAAGACCGAGGCCCTCTTGATTGGTTTGCACCAGAGCCTCGGCACCTCGGGTGCTGGCAACATCAGCCTCCACGGCTGCACACTCAACCTCACTAAGCCATTCAGGTGTCTTTTTTGACCCTGAACTGTCCTTTCTCCCTCACATCCGCGCCTTAACCAGCACTGCCTACCACCACCTCCGCAACATTGCCAGACTCCGCCACTGCCTCACCCCTCAGGCTGCCGAAACCCTCACCCACGCATTTATCACATCAAGGCTCGATTATGGAAATTCCCTCCTCATCGGCCTTCCCAACTCTTCCCTTCACAAACTGCGGGTCATCCAAAACTCTGCAGCTTGTGTACTCTCATGCACCAGGCTCCGTGACCCCATCACTCCCATCCTCGCCCGACTGCACCAGCTCCCCATCTCCAAGAGGATCGAATTCAAGATCCTCATCCTCACTTTAAAGGCCATCCATGGCCTTGCCCCCTCCTACCGTTCTGACCTGCTGACTCCCTACCAACCTGCCCGCTCCCTCCATTCAGCGGGCTCCGGCCTACACCATGTCTCCCGCCCGACCCACCCTACCATCGGTGGCCGAGCTTTCAGTCTCTCTGCCCCCACACTCTGGAACTCCATCCCACAGTCCCTTCACCTCACTTCCTCCCTTGCCTCCTTCAAGGCCGGTCTCAAGACCATCCTCTTCGATCGTGCCTTCGGTCGCCCTCCTACCTCTCTACCTTCCCTCACCCTTACCCCTCCCCTCTCCCATGCTCGGGTCCTGACCCCTGACTGTCGAGCGGCTTGGGATGTCCTCCCGAAGTGAAAGGCGCTCTATAAATGCAATTTTGTTGTTTTTGCTGTTGTTTGTTACCACCAACAGTTGCTCTCCTCCCCCCGGGACCTTCCCATGCCAGCGCAAGAGATACAATACCTGCCCTTTACTCCTCCCATAGCACTGTCCAAAGCCCCAGACACAGTTTTCAAGTGAGACAGCGGGTTACATGTACTACCATCAATGTAGTTTACTGCATTCACTGCTCACAATGTGGTCTTCTCTACATTGGGGAGGCAAAACACAGATTGGGCAACCAATTTGCTGAACAACTCCGTTCTGTTCACTCTGCCCTCTCCATCCATGGTTTCCTACACTGTTCCAATGAAGCACAGCGCAAGCTCAAGGAACAGCACCTCAACTCTCTGCTAGGGATCTTATAATCCTCTAGCCTCAATATTGATTTCAACAATTTCAGACCAGAACAACTTACATTCCCCCTCCCCATCTTCTGCGACTATTACTACATCCCAGGGTCCTAGACACACCTTTCTCTCTCTGGTCTTTGTTTTGCATTATTAACACCTCTTTAATCCATCATCCCCTGTCCTCTACCCCATTTTCTCCTTTGTCTACCTTGCCCTGCCTCCCCCCTTTCTGTTAGTCCTAAAAAGCCTCTCCCTCCCAACATGCCCCAGTTCTGATGAGGGGTTGTGAACCCGAAATGTTGACTCACTTTCCTTTCTCCATAGATGCTGCCTGACCTGCTGAGTGTTCCCATCGACTTCTGTTTTTGTTTCAGATTTCCAGCATCTGCAGTATTTTGCATCTTGTTCCAAGTATATTTTGTTTCATTCCAATATCAGTGGCTCTATCACTTTGTTTGGAAAATTATTCAAATATTTTTTACTTTCTGCATAAAAATCGTCAAGATGAAAATTGTGAGCCGAGATGTGTTAATTAACAATGGTGTTATCCCATTGTTGAAAATTCTTTCCTGCCGATAATTAAGGATATCAAGTGATTCACAACTGTGACTGTCTTATTCACACAGAAAAAAATTGTAGCAAAGCCAGTTGGATTCACATGTAAAGTTCATTTTCTGCAACAACAATTTGCACTTATTTAGTGTATTTTGCATTAATGAAATGACTTTACAAGCACTTTACAAAAAAAGATTAATTAGAAATGACATGCATGCTATTATGTGGGGAATAAAAGGCAGCTAATTTACATAATGTCCTGGCTAATTAAATTA